CACCACATGTACATTGGACAGCCGCTACCTCCCGTGGAGTTCCATGTGTATGTTTAAGAAAGATGAACAAGTTTGGTTTGAAAAATTTATGGAACCATTTTGTGCTGGGGTGAAAATACATAACATTCTGTGGAGGAGGCAAGGTCACCCTTAACCTATCCATTCTCATTTCTTGGCAGTGTTGAGATACATTCCCTCTATATTCTGGGTCAGGGTTAAGTGCATACACTGCATTATATTATCCAGTGTTTACTACCGACTACCACATACATGCTTCGGAAACATGGTCATTAACAAAAACACGTGGAGAACGAAAACGTGTGCAACGAAATGTGCGGAGCTGCATGCTTGGAATTACAGTGAGAGATGTTGGAGATGACCTCGTGGATTAGAGAACTTAAAGACGTAATGTAAACTCTGAAACTAATGCTTGGGCAGAACATGTGGCCAGAAGGGACAAGGCCGGTGATGAATAACACTGTCGCCACAGAGTGGCAGCCAAGGCATTAAAGGCGTCTGAGAGGACACCCAGTGAGGAAAGGGAGCAATGCATTCGGCTCACGTGCAGGTGCCTGGCATAGTGAGAGGTGGCGGAAACTTGGAGAGGCTTTTATCAAGCAGCGGATTGATCATGTCTGATGGTGACAACTGGCGACGACGAATGGATGCCACGGGTTTAATGCTCCTCGTGACTTACAATACCCATACCAGTCATATGCTAACTTGCACCTGACCAGTATCCGTGTAACAAAGCAAATAAACTCAATCTCTCAAAGCAAGTATGCTCTCTCCATCCCTACCTATCGCACGCCCTAACATTATAACACTGTGGCCATGCCACAGGAGGCCTGTGGCATGGCCACAGTGGACGAGCGTGGCTGCACTGCAGGAGGAGGAAAGCTCACGGCGTTCAGGGCGACCCAGAGCTGCCCGGGCGCGCTCACTACACACAAAGTGGTGGTCACAGGCGAAGCACGGATACCTCGCTGATCTCGTCAGGGGGCAATAAAGCATCGCGCGGACTCCGCTGGTGGTCACCCTCGCAGCGGCGGCGGATTTTGGCTGGCGAGCGGACAAAGGGTGGCGGTCGCCGCATCGCGCGGCGCTTCCAGACGCGCTTCTGCGTCCGTCTGGAACGCTCTTCCGCCCGATATTAGGAAGCTCCTGGGAGCTGTGCACTTTTAAATCATCGTCTAGATTTGAAAACGCATGTGTTCAGAACTGCTTTTTGCGTGTTTAGTTCGTTGTCCTTCCCCGCCCCCCGCACGTCCGATTGGCACGGTTGGCTACGTACGGTGCGAAAGAAGTCCAACACAAAGACAAAGATCCCCCGTATAGCCTTAGCAGACTGTAGGGGCAAGTGGTGTTAGCGAGCAGCACCTATGAAGGCTGGAACGGTGCACGACGGGGTGGGTGGCCAGCACCACGCCCGACCGCCTTTGTCTTCCCACTGGCGATGCTTACTACACAGCGCACCAGGTACTCATTTGAGGCTGAGTCAACCTAGGAGAGGCCCAGGATCGGTTCCGATAATCGCCACCGGTGCTGGCCGTGAGCGGGAATCGAACCCGGATCGCCGGGTTCATAGCGCAAGCGTGGCGCTAACCACTGCACCACCGCTCCCCACCTCATGGCGCGCGCAACCTTGACGCCGAGCGCGGCGCAGCCTCTCCCGCACGCTCGTCGCATCCACGCGGGCTCCTTCACATTTGAGAAGAAAAACAATCGCAACACGTCGAAAAAGCGACGATGCGTGGCGTTCAGTGCATTGGCTGTTTTCCCCGCACACAGCGAGCGACTGTGAGTGACGCAAGTCAACAGTTGTGCGCTGTAGCGCTGTAGCGCATGCAACGACATCGATATCACCCGCTGCCTACTGCTTGTTCACGCACGTTTACAGAAACACCCACCCCCCCCCCCCCATGTCCAACCGCTACCGTAAATCAAAATGAATAACTGCATCCGTTAATTCACGTAAGATTGTATATTCTTGGATCTTTCGGTAAAGTCACGTAGATAGAAAACAAAGATCACAATTTATTTAGATTTTAAGTCTAAATTTAACATAGATTGGTAATAATGTAAAACCCGCTGGGTTTTCTTGCATATCCTTGGTATTTTGATCATGCTGCAAAGTGTATCACCTAAACCTGTATACAAGTAGACGATTCCCCATCATGAATTCAGCACGCTCTGTGGCTAATTGTGATTATGATGATGAATCGATGAACGAAAGCTTGCCCATCCCAAAGCAGTAATACACAGAAGCCATTTGCAGACTGCTGTCTGTTCAGTAAATACTCTGTGATGATGCTTTCTAGTGGGGATGGTTTGCGTGCACGTAAAGTGGAGTGGGCAACATCGGCCCGCTTGCCTCGTCAGGATTGTTGGAATTATTGAAGTTGAATGCAGGGCCAATTCCCTGGGGCATTCATTTTCAGCGAGCTAACAGACACCTACTGGCTCTCTACACCGAGTGTGAGAGAGACGTCTGGCAATTGAAGCCATTTCACGTTGAGTGGCCCAGAAGGGGGGGGCATTGAAGAAACTCACCCCCCAGCCCCCCAGCCCCCCAGCCCCCCATCGTTTCAGGGACCGCGCCGGTGGATGGAGTCGAACCCATGATATGTCTGGAGGTCGCAAAGCCACTATGTGCTGACCATCGACACCGCTGGTGCCCCGCGTGTGTGTGTGTGCCCTTACCTGTACTCAACATATGACAATAGTTACAGAGTTGGTGCAGGGAGAGCGTTGAGCCGACAGCAATATTCAGTATCCTATCTCCGTCATGGAAATGGCCATAAGTGACGTGGTACTTAACCTGCATAGGGAACGCTTTATGAAACTGAGCAGAAGATATTGTAATGGGAATATTGCCACGAGAGACAATTGCGTTTAGGTGCATTACATATCTCGTTAAGATATTAAAAACTAAAGTGCGTAAACGTACGTAAGTGGCTATTACTTTGTCCACCAAATGCCACCGATCTAGAGTAGTGTATAGCAATGGGACCCTTTCGTCGGCAGAAAGATATTGAATTATAAATGCCTTTACCCTTTCTGGAGTAATGTAGTAGTACTGTATAAATAATACAGTGTTTAGAAGCAAACGTCATTAAGACACATCTATAGAGATGATGTATGTTAGGTTCAAGATACCATATTAGCCCTGAAACACAGAACCCAAAGTTGCTCATTAAGAAACATATGCAGGCCCATATAGCTGAACCATTTGCATTCATACCATACGCGACACGGCGAGGCGATATAGCATGGAGAATGGCGTGATTAAAACTTTGTTGTGAAAATCGAGTCAACGATAAATATTGACTCAACCCGTTAATGTGATTGCAGTAATTAGTTTCCTATCACAAGAATGGCGACGGGGATGCAACCCGGTGGGACCCATCCGCAAACAGCTGGCACGCACACGCACACACATCGACTTATACACACACACACATCGACTTGTACACACACACACATCGACTTGTACACACACACACATCGACTTGTACACACACACACATCGACTTGTACACACACACATCGACTTGTACACACACATCGACTTGTACACACACGTCGACTTGTACACACACATCGACTTATACACACACACACATCGACTTGTACACACACATCGACTTGTACACACACATCGACTTATACACACACACATCGACTTGTACACACACATCGACTTGTACACACACACACATCGACTTGTACACACACATCAACTTGTACACACACACACATCGACTTGTACACACACACATCGACTTGTACACACACACATCGACTTGAACACACACACACATCGACTTGTACACACACACATCGACTTGTACACACACATCGACTTGTACACACACACACATAGACTTGTACACACACACATCGACTTATACACACACACATCGACTTGTACACACATACATCGACTTGTACACACACATCGACTTGTACACACACACACATAGACTTGTACACACACACACATCGACTTGTACACACACACATCGACTTGTACACACACATCGACTTATACACACACATCGACTTGTACACACACACATCGACTTGTACACACACATCGACTTGTACACACACACATCGACTTGTACACACATCAATTAGACGTCGACAATCGGAGTAACTTTTCAATCATAATCGGACCTGACAATTCCAGTATTATCTGCAGAACGTGCTGAAGCAGTCCCCCATATTCACCATGCGCAGGTAAGTTAACAGACGCTGAACCAGTGCCGAACAAACAGCATCGCGTCCCAAAAACTTGACTCCTGCCTTGCTCGTTAGCCACATTTAAGTTACTTTACTGCGGTGATTATTTCACAAAAGGCACGGTTCGGGGAACATAAAAGGCATCTTCGAAAGTTGTATTTCCGCTGTTGTCGCGGGGGGAGACACACGTCCTTAAGCAAATGCGTAGACGATAGTCCAAGCCCTCTGTTAGCGCGCGCCTGTAAATTGGCGTCTTCAATTCAGCACGCCGCCTCTGTGGACAGCAGGCATTGTTGGTGACGAGACGTGGGCAAAGCCATAGCTGCAGCGCGCAGTGTCCATCCAGCCACCATGCAGTGGCTAATGTGTGCTTGCGCGGTTTGTACGAGCTAATGTTCCTTCACTATTAACTCCAGGATAAAATATGACCACGTGTGGAAAAGAAACCATCCCCACACGGTTGTTCTTGCGATTCATTTTTTAAAGGCGCTTGAATTTTGCGCACACGCATTTATCCGGTTGCCTCGAATACGTGTAACAGCTCACAGCAACCGCTTCCGAATCTCTCAGCCGTGTGTCGCTCACTAATGGTCGCAATCGGTAAATATCGGTTGATAACAATGTCTCCAAATCCGAGCTGGGTCTCGCTACTTGCTTGCATAATTCACATCTCACTACGGCAGTCCACGCGTGATCGCCACCAGACGCATCGAGGCACGCACGCACACGCAGGGGACGGGACAGCGCGTTACCTTCCTGCTGAACGCTTCCCGGCAGCAGCAGACAGAGGAGCAGCGATCCCAACGCGTGGACCAACAAAGCCGAGACACCCATTGTCTCCTCTCAGAGTCCACCCGAGGCGATCTCCCTCGCCCCCGGTCACAGGATAGAACCCAGCAGAGGGCACAGGAAGAGGTGGTTCGCTCTCCCGGGTGCAGCTCGCCAGTATTGTATCAGGATGACTCCTGTTGTAAACTTTTCCTCCCCCCTCCTCCTCCTCCCGCCAGCTCTCTCGCGCTCTCTCCGTTCTCTCTCTCTCTCCCCCCGTGTCGTGTGTGTGTGTGCGCGTGTGCTGAAGCACTGCACCTCCCACCGTGGCGCCCCCACACTCGATTGGCAATGAGCGCGTGGAGCCGACCCCGGGCTGTGTTCTCTCCCCGATTGTTTGGTGGCGTCTCCGCCGAGCCGCGAACCCAACCCATGCGGCTCTCTCCGCTCTAGGGCAGGCGGGCAAGGCACCACCCCACTGCTGTCCCGCACGCGACACGTACAGCCACGCACACACGCACAGATGCAACATACACAGTCACATGCAGATCACACACACAGATACAACATACACAGTCACATGCAGATCACACACACACACACATATACAACATACACGGTCACACGCGGATAACACACGCACACAACACACGCACACACTCAAAACAAGATACACACAATTCACACACACACACAAAGATTCCGCTGTAGCCTTAACAGACCGTTGGGGCAAGTACTGTTAGCGAGCACCTATGAAGGCTGGCACACACACAATACATACACGGTTACACACATAGGATACACACACGCAGAACAAAGCACACACACACTGAAAACAGAATACACAAATTTTACACACATTTCACACACAAATGCATACACAAATTGCAATACACACAATTACACGGACAATAAACTAACGCAGAAAAGCACAAATAAACCAGAATGCACAATATTCACAAATATAAAAAATGCATACACACGAAATTCATACACAGATATATAAAAGTCACACATAATACACACTCAGGATACACACACGTGCACATTATACACACAATATATGCACATACGTGAACAGTTACTCACATAGAATGCACACTCAAGAGACACATTCGTACACATTACACACGTACACAACACACGCATAACACACAGCATGCACACATAACGAACACACGCACATTTAATAACTCCCCTCTCCTATCGCTATCCAATCTGCTACCCCAAGCCCGGGTAGAATTGGGTTTTTTTTTGTGGTACGAGCTTCTTTAACTACTTTTCACGTAAAACTACACACTCCGCTATCAGTGCCTTTGCTATTCTTTTGTTTTCTTGAATAGTGCATTAAACAGCATTCGATTAGACTAATGATGCAAATCACACCTCGCTTAATGCATTCCGCTCAAGGTGAGGACAAATGCGTATTTACACATTCTGAGCTCTCCGATGACGAAAGGAGAGGAACCAGGCCACTATTGATTATTCTCAAGTCATTATTTTGTCACCTACTGTATTTGGAGACAATATCTGAGCGCATGTGAAACTCAGCTGCCAGTAAGCGCATCATGATTATCCAATTAGCGCTCATTATTTTTGTTAATTTATTTAGCAGTCCGTGAAATTTCCTGTGGTGCGATACAATGACTCGTTGTTGAGTTTTGATGTCAGCCACGTAATCACTACAAGCGACAAATGAAAGCATGAAGTGATATCTAATGTGCGAGCATGTGTTTTGTTATATAGAAAGGTTTCATGCACGTGACTGCACGACACAGCTTACTAGACGATTATTTGCATTGTCAAACGTACTGTCAATACATTGACGCTTGAACAATGAGCAATGGATGAGCAATGGCTCTGTAATTGGAAATGCATTCCTAACCGACGTTTGGGAGAATCCTGGACCGATAAAGAAGTTGCTGGCAGTGCGAGAGGATCGAACTATGAAACGTCTCTCAACAATTAATATTAGTTTGAAACGTCAAATAGTGTTGCCACCTCATATATATAAAACATTTTTAAAAATGGAACATGGCATGAGAAAAAGAGTATCTGACAATACTTGAAGATTGGAAGGGCGCATTGTATTGAGTGACAAAATACGGGACTTTTCATGTCCTGGGAGGAGAATGATTTCCCAGGACAGCTGCCTCAACAAGAGGACGATCCTGGGCAAACCTGGACGGGTGGCAACCCGAGTCCCGTTTCTCCATCGTTACGTTTGTCTCCCTCAACAGTGTCTAATTGGAGTTGGTGCAGATTTATCGGTCAGAGGGCTCTCAATGGGCCGGTCGCAAGTTCACATTATTATTGGGGCTTGACTCAGCCCATCGTACCTCTAGGGCCACTGGAAGAGTACCACTTTGTGCTGAAGTGAACAGTGGATGTCCTATGGAAAGACTCCCCCCTACCCACCATAGGAATGTGGAATTTCCACCACTGGCTCAAGGCTGTAGACGGGAGCTGCGCACCGCCTCAATAAGCACGAGATCGCGTTCACTTGTGTAGCCTGTAGGCCCACAAGGCGGGAAGACCGACGGTGTTGGTGCTTTCCAATTTGTGTTGTAGTTGTAGAGGATATCGGCCGTATATGTTCTGAATAGGTTCTTGTCAAGTATGGTCAAAACAACCACGCCATGACTGACACTGAGTGGGGAAACCTTAATCCAGTAGTGGATAGACAAAGGTATGTAGTTTATAAAAACATAAACACTGTTGCATATACTACTGTAATATACCGTATATTGCTCGTTAAATGAACAAACGCGCAATGGTATTCCTCATGTAGTTTAGTTTATTCATGCTGGCTAAAGGTACTGCATTCAAGGATGCTGACATTGATTGTGGACATTTCACATTGCTATGGTCGAGCAATAATATAAATAACAGCCACTGTGGACCTCAAACCACAGTGTGATACTTAAAGATGATGGCCTTTTTTTAGAGCACATTGTGTTCTATGAGGAAGGGCCATTGCCCGAAACGTCACCCATCATACATTTGTTCTTCCGAGGCATTGTTACTGACGAATGTCGTGTTAATGTCGTGTTGATTGTGGTTGTACACCACTGACAATGCAGCATCACGAAATTAGTTGTTCAATTTGAACGATTTTGTTTTGGGTTGACACCCAACCCGGATTTGAAATCACGAACCGGTTGCGAGTTGAGTACTTTGCCAGTGTGACCAAGCATGACATCATTCCCCTCCACTTTGAAGACGAATCTACAGCACAGTCTGCACATTTCGGTAAGCACGTCCATGCTTTGCAGAAGCCTTAATATATATGTTTGTATTGTAGTCCATATATATCTTAAAATACAAGTCAAATTAGCCTTATTTATAATCCATCGATACCATTTTTAGGATAACTATTTATAAATGCTGAAATGTAGGAAATGAGCACTGGGTGAGTGTACTTGAATAAACAGTGCAATTGTTTAGAACTCGGTGGGCCCCAAAAAATCCATGGTTCTAATGTGCATCTGATCAGGAAAATGTATATAATTCATGAAAGTCACTCACCCATAACCACAATTTGCTAATTGCAAATGAGGAATGTGGAAATCGTGTGTCCTGTAATCCCAATATTGCGTATCGTGATTAAAAGGTCCAATCAAATAAGGTCCTCATTCTCGTCGAGTAATCAAATTCTGAAATGACAACAAACCACAGGGTGAGCAAACACGTTCGGAGGCGCACTCCGTGAAACTTAGAACACAAACTCCTCCTGTGTGGACACTTGGTGCTGAGTTGAAATTCTAGTGGAAGATTAAATTATCCCATCATCCACCTATGGTCAACACCATTTATAGATTCTAGATTTGAAGCTTTCGTGACTGCAATGATTCATACTCTTTTGTTTTATTCGGTAAAGTCACGTAGGTAAAATCAAATAAAACAATTACATCACGACGTTTCGGAGGCAACACAAGCTTCCGTCTTCAGGTGGAACAGTCACAGCAGAATATGCTTGACTGTTCCACCTGAAGAATATGCTGTGACTGTTCCACCTGAAGAATATGCTGTGACTGTTCCACCTGAAGACGGAAGCTTGTGTTGCCTCCGAAACGTCGTGATTTAATTGTTTCATTTTATTTTACCTACGTGACTTTACCGAATAAAACCAAAGAGTACCATTTATAGAATTTAGTTTTCAGTCAACTGTGGTTGTCTTTACAAAGAGAATGGTCACGGCGATAATTTTGGGAATTTGCGCCACTGATAAAGAGATGAGTGCTGCTCCATATTCCTCTGAGCAAGGAGGAACACTGTGTTTCACCATGCCAGGGATTTAAAAAGGATTAACTGGCGCTGTAATGAATAAAAAATGTTTTAGGCATGGTGGCACGTACGCCTGTGTGGGTGTCTCAATTAGAGCCACTGTTAAATGAGCAGATTTTTCGACTCGGGTGGCCCGAGGCAAATGTGCCGCTTCATCGGCTGCTCCGCAACACGCATCCCACACCCTCCCGCACTCGAGAGCCATCCATCACGTCATCCAACCGACCCGAATTGGATTAGCGGGCAGTTGAGACGGTCCTACGACCTGATTCCTGCCACTGGGATTACACAGCATCGTTAGAGCACGAGACGCCGTATTGGTATAGGCAGAACCAGCTGGTATGGTCAAGTGAAACATGCATGAGGATACTGTTGCTTGTGTGCCTTGCCAGTCGATGTGGAATGGACCGCTGTGATTTCCCTAACACCGTATGGCAACATGTTGGAGCAGATGGCTACAGCTATTTTTTTAATTCAAGAATCCAGAACACGGACACCACAGTTCTACGGCTATTTTAAATAATGTCCAACACAATGAAGATAATCCAATGTTGTGCCTAAAGTTATCCTGTGGCAAACTGTCATGAAATGGGTAAACCCTATAGCCAAACCATTACAATAAGGCACACTCTATGACCAGCTATATATATACCATACACAATCATCATAAGCAATAGCTTATATATACCACAACTTGATGCAAGCATCCATCCTACCATCCTATTCCAATGTATCTTGATTTCATCACTCCAGCTCCCATTTGGTCAGCCTTATATATATTTCTTTCCCCTGGTTGCCCTCGGTTGTCATTCCTTCTACTGACACATCCTGAATAATTGGAATCCTACCTTCTCTTTGAGAGCAGACATCATAGATAAAGAGGTACGCACATATATCATATACTCTGGTAGAAAATTCATGACATGCTCCATATTTTGATAGTAGGCAAGCTGCGAGGATGCCATTGAATGATCGCCCCCACAAAAAATAAGAGTGGCTGAAGGCGCACGGGCTGTGACATGAGAACCCGTGGGCTGATTGTCAACATTTCGGAAGCGGTGTGTCCGCACAACCCTCTAGGATCGTGAAGAAATCTGTCTAGAAATCTAAGTTATTGTTCTTATGCTTCTATCGCATAGGCGAGGAGAATGCACATGTTTTTTTCCATAGGGATGGAACACATTTATAGATAAGGGATGGCCATTGCTTTGTTTTATGGAGCG